TAATAAATAATAAATAACAATAATAACAAACTTGGCTCAATTTTTTTCAGGAGATGGTAACAACTTGTGGCCAAGGTGGCCCGATGGCTGGGGCAGCCTTTTGAGATGAGGAAGACTCAGTCAAACCTCTTCTCTGCCTAGCTCTGAGCAAAGGTTTGACCCAAGAACCCCCACATACCAAAAGGGTATCCTGATGCTAAGAAATACTCAATCATCCATTTCCCCAGTTTTTCCTGATAAACGTATGTGGTACAAAATATTAGTATATCCAGTTGAGGCCTCACTGGAGCACCTGCTTCCCTCTTCCCACTTCCCATAGCAGCACTCGAGTGCTCAGGGTACAGAGGCAGGGGCGGCTCTGCTCCTCACAGCCCAAAGGGACAGCCTGGGCACTGGGGAGCAGCTCCCACCAAAGCCATGGATGTCTTGGTGCCAAGCGCACTGAGCATCCTGGCCCACAAGCACTCGTCCGAGGGATCTTGCCGGAGCACGCTGCAGCTCCTGCCTGCCTGCGCTTTCTTTCACTGGACAACACAGTACAGGGACAGCGAGGGCTGATGCACACAAAATTATGTTCCAGCATGTGGCCAGGATACAGCAGACTTGTCCTGCAAAAGGTTCCCAGAGAGATGGTGTCCCCAGTTCTGCTATCAGCCTGTACTTCTGAGAAAGGGAGAGGGAGAGGACACCTAGGTTCTAGTCCAGGCTCTGATTCAACCTACTTTAGGGTATGAGGAGGGGATAGAAGAAGGCACACACTTTCTCCCTAATTTTTTTATAGCCCTCCCAAATCAATACATACAGCATTTCCAAACTCTTTTATTTGGGTCATGCTAATATTCCCAATGCTACATGTAGTTAAAGCTCATAGAAAACCATTCTTCTTTTGCTAACCAAAGCTTCTCAAAAGTTCAGATCTGGTTCTGCTTTCATGTACACCACTGTAAGACAAAAGTATTTCTACTGAAGACACAAACCACGCAATGCAAACCAGGTCCAAGGCCCAGCCTGGCCATGGAATCAGGGAGAGGTTCGATTCTTCAGACAAGAGGGTGAGTTTTACACCAATCTAATTGAAATGGTACAACCTCTAGCTCTGTTGCAATTGTATGGACACAGAGGAGCACATAAAGCTGATGAAGCTTATATATTGTAGGAGTATGCTTATGTAGAGTACCTATAATTGGACAGATACAGATAGGGAATAACATCGACAGAGCCTCCGAACGGTGTTAAAATCACAAGGCTCCAGACACAAGCTAAGCTACAGGCCACCGCTGTCACTGGCACTGACAATTAACTCCATTGTACTGATGTCCCTCACAGCCCAGGCTGCTGGGCAAGCAGCCTGTGACTTCCCGTTACCCAACACTCTGTGTCCACAGCAGAGGACTCAGCACCTTTAGCTGTGGTGGGTCTAAATTGATGTACTGAAAGCAGCTGAAAGCAAGTCCAAAGCATGAGCAAATTCTGACCTTTTGCTTTTTGACAATGAGGTAAAGTCATCCTGCACGATTTGGATTTGTCAGCATTGATGTGGAAATGTATGCTCTGCCTTTCCCCCTGTACAGAGAACCAGGTCTGTCCTCAAGCAATAGGTTTTCAAACCCACTTTTTAAGGGTTTGGTAGCTCTTCATTTTCTATCAAATAATCCTTCTTTATATAATTAGCACCCCTCACCAACCTCCATACTCCAAGATAGGCATCTTTCAGTGAGCTCCTGTTCACTTCTTGTGTGCTAGTGGCTTTTTCCTGGATCACTGGTCCCTTGGCAGGTTTCCCAGTGCTGTCCTCTTCCTCTCCACTCTGGCTGTCCCCTATGGCTGATCCTTCCACTGCTGCTTCTTCAGCCCCCTTCTCATGGGAAATTGCCTCCATCGCAAACAGCGCTTGGTCTCCTGCCTGGCTTTTCCCTTCCTCTTCTCTAGCTTCTTTCTCCAGGTCCTCATAATTGCTCTGCCGTCTGGTCTCAATGTACTTGGCCACGCAGTAAATGACAGACCCCAAGGTGTTGACCACAACACCAGCTATAAATAATTTTGTGGGCTCCACATCATTGAACGCCACCATGCCCACCGTGATGGTTGCTATGCTCTTCACCACCCCTACAAAGCTGGTGGTCACAGCTGAGTTAATGTAAGTGCAGTGAAGGGTGGTAAAGTTCATGGCACAGCTAATCAGGACGCAAGCGATAAAGATGCATACCATGGCAGGGTCCTTCCACCCTGGGAAGGACCAGACATTGATGGAATCCATGCTGGCAAAGGAGCAAATGATGAGAAAAGGGGTGGCTGAAACAGCGATGGCGTACTGAGCTGTGAGGGGTCCATATTCGCTATCTATACTGGTCTTCTGAATGAGCACCAGGTAGGCAGCGTGTATGAGTACGGCCAGCACGCCTGTCACATAGCCCATAGCATCCCCGGTCAGGTCACCAGCTCCTGCCAGGAGAGTGACAGAAAGAAACAAGCATGGGTTTTGCATGTGAGACAGAAAGAGAGCACTGCTTTGGACTGGGGGGGTATTTAGGAAATAGGCATCAGTGCACTTGACATAACTCCTAGGATTTGTCACGCTTTTCCCAAGGCTGGACGTACTTGCCTCCCAGTGGATACATCTCTTTGTCGTCTTTTTTTTCATGCTGTAAACCTATTGATTGTATTTCACCCTCCCCCTAAATCCCACTGCCAAAATCATATTGTGTTCTCCATTTTTTTTGAAGACCCTATGGGAGATTTGCAGCCAAAGCCACACATGCAGACAACAACTCTGGGCATCCTCTCGGCAGCACGAGTGCACGTCAGCTCTGGCTGACCGGGCCACCTGCCCTCCAGCTCCTGGTTCTCTTTCTGTCCTCCTGCTCCTCCCAGCAAAGGCAAGTTGTGTGCAGCGAGAACCCCTCCGCTGTCAGGCTTCTTTGCCATACTGTGTGTGCTCTGTTCGCTGGAGCAGCCCCCAGCCAAGGAGTGTTGCCGGGCCACACAGAGCTAGCTTTGCATCCCATCCCACTTACACGTCGGCTGGATATCAACACTTAGGGGCCAGCAGATGCCCCCTAAGCTTGCCCCTGCCACTGTAAGGTTGCACTCACCTACCCTAAGACCAAATCTCCCCCAATGGGGTTGCACCTTCCCCAGCAGGGTTGCAATACGGTTGCACTGACTCCCATAGGTTTACACCGACAATAGAGGACTGCACCGACCCCCACTGGACGCACCTATGGCTGTAGGGTTGTACCTGTCACAGGGGGGCTGCATCCCCGGACTCGCACCGGTCCCTGTGAAGTCGTGCCTGTCATAGCGGGACT